ATATATAAGTATATTAGTGTATATAATTACATCACTGCTCGCTATATCAAGGTAACCCTTATATGATGTATATTAGTGTGTATATATACATCACTGCTCTCTATATCAAGGTAACCCTTATATATAATGTATATTAGTGTGTATATATACATCACTGCTCGCTATATCAAGGTAACCCTTATATATAATGTATATTAGTGTATATATATACATCACTGCTCGCTATATCAAGGTAACCCTTATATGATGTATATTAGTGTGTATATATACATCACTGCTCTCTATATCAAGGTAACCCTTATATATAATGTGTATTAGTGTGTATATATACATCACTGCTCGCTATATCAAGGTAACCCTTATATATAATGTATATTAGTGTATATATATACATCACTGCTCGCTATATCAAGGTAACCCTTATATATAATGTATATTAGTGTATATATATACATCACTGCTCTGTATCAAGGTAACCCTTATATATAATAATTTAATATATATATATATATATATATATATAATATATATATATATATATATATATATATATATATATATATATATATATATATCACTGCTCTCTATATCAAGGTAAACGTTATATATAATGTATATTAGTGTATATATACAAGGAATTCGCAAGAGCAGGCGAAATATACACAAACACTGATTCTCTGGCTGAAGGAGACTCGAACCTACGAACCTTGGAACAAGGTACGCAGTGCTATACCAATCTACCCACACTGGACAATACCTTGGTGCCCAGCTTGCGCTACACGTTTGATCCAAGGCAGCCAGCTTTCAGGGAGAAGGTTTACAGGTTTTCATCTCATCCCCTTCATACATCAGCCTTACTAGAGATATTAACAATGCTGGCTGCCTTGGATCAACGTCTAGCCCGGTGGCCTGGTGGTTAAAGTTCCCGCTTCACACACGGAGGGCCCGGGTTCGATTCCCGGCGGGTGGAAACATTTCGACACGTTTCCTTACACCTGTTGTCCTGTTCACCTAGCAGCAAATAGGTACCTTGGTGTTAGTGGACTGGTGTGGGTGGCATCCTGGGGGACAAGATTAAGGACCACAATGGAAATAAGTTAGACAGTCCTCGATGACGCACTGACTTTCTTGGGTTATCCTGGGTGGCTAACCCTCCGGGGTTAAAAATCCAAACGATATCTTATCTTATCTTAACATTATAAAGTAATTGGAACATTATAAAGTAATTGTAGCATTATAAAGTAATTGTAACATTATAACACTGTAACCCGGACCATTGGTATTCACTGTAACTAAATTTATATATTTACACTCACCTAAGACACTATGTTCAAAATTAATCTTAAGATAGGCCTATTATATGCCTAAGATAAGCCTATTATATGCCTAAGATAAGCCTATTATATGCCTAAGATAGACCTATTATATGCCTCAGATAAGCCTTTTATATGCCTAAGATAAGCCTATTATATGCCTAAGATAAGCCTATTATATGCCTAACATAGGCCTATTATATGCCTAACATAGGCCTATTATATGCCTAACATACTTCTGAACCTATTGTCCATTGTTGACAGTAATATTGTCCATTGTTGACAGTAATATTGTCCATTGTTGGCAGTAATATTGTCCATTGTTGGCAGTAATATTGTCCATTGTTGGCAGTAATATTGTCCATTGTTGGCAGTAATATTGTCCATTGTTGACAGTAATATTGTCCATTGTTGGCAGTAATATTGTCCATTGTTGGCAGTAATATTGTCCATTTTTTGCCCAGTAATATTGCCCAATTGTTGACAGAAAATATTGTCCATTGTTGACAGTAATATTGTCCATTGTTGACAGTAATATTGTCCATTGTTGGCAGTAATATTGTCCATTGTTGGCAGTAATATTGTCCATTGTTGACAGTAATATTGTCCATTGTTGACAGTAATATTGTCCATTGTTGACAGTAATATTGTCCATTGTTGACAGTAATATTGTCCATTGTTGACAGTAATATTGTCCATTGTTGGCAGTAATATTGTCCATTGTTGACAGTAATATTGTCCATTGTTGGCAGTAATATTACTGAAACATATTTTACAAATAAACATTTTTGGATATATAAATATATCCTTTGGTTTATATAAATTAGATTCATTTATAATTAATAGAACTACTGTACAAGTATGATCAATTTGTTTAGTGTCAGATGGTCAGTAAACCATTAAACCATACCCCCGGCCGGGACTGAACCCGCGGGTATGGTTTATTTGCAATCGTGTCATTACGATTTCTTGAGTCAAGTAAACCATTAAATTAAGTCTGCCCACAATGCCTAGGCCTAACAGTGCCTCTTTGTACTGCAACTCGTTATTGTAAATATAATCTTAATGTACTACTTGCAGAGAAATAAATAAATTTGAATTTCATTTTGAATTTGACTTATTATTATTATAATCAAGGGGGAAGCGCTAAACCCGGAGGATTATACAGCACCTGGGGGGGGGGATGTGGAAGGCATTCAGACTTACTTCGGGGAACTGGAGCACAGATCCAATTCCCTAAATCAAGAGCCACTCACCAACATCAAGGAACCTTCCTTGAAGGGAATTTGACTTATAAACACGCTGAGAGTCTTCTGTATTGTGGATAGTACAGTGGACCCCCGCTTAACGATCACCTCCAAATGCACCAATTATGAAGTGTATTTTTAATGCTTTTGTACTGAGTTTGGGGGGTCTAAAGGGGACTAACACTTTCAAAATTTTCCCTTAGGGAAAAAATTGGGTCAGTACGGCACCTGAACATACTACGGGGGAATAAAAAAAAGTTCGTTAACCGGGGTCCACTGTATATAAATTGCAGCGCGTACTGCCCTGGGGGTTACACTTCTTTTTATTATAAAAATAAAAATTTATTGTGTAATTATTATAAACAAAACAGAATTCCCGTGTTTTTTACACTGAGGACTTACGTATCATGCTGAATTTAGTACAGGGGAACCTTTTTTTAAAGGGGCCACTGCTTTTATCAGCTGTTTTATATTTGGCCAATTTTTTTTGACGAATTTTTGCTGTTTTGTGGATCGGGGAAAACCAATTAGCAGGTATAGTGTTTCAAGACGACCCATTTGGAAAAGGCCAAGGCATTGTATGGGATCTCGACAGAAACATTCAATTTTTTTAAAAGCACAGAAAAAACAAATTAATCTCAACTCTACGCTTATTTATCTATCAAAATTTTGATCTAATGTGACAAAAAAAACAACATAGAAACAGGTAATCCTAAAGAATAAAAATGTCTTTAAAAATGGCGGGCGGTCGCTGTCACCCCTGAGGAAAGAATTACCCTCTGCCCATGCTTCCCAACTTCCCCTTCGGGTACAAGAGAAAAACAAGTTATGGAGGGCTAACTACATTAGATCATAGTGCAAAAAACCTGAAACAAACGAAATTTTTTCTCGAAAAAAAAAAATCCCAAAGAGGCTTACATCAATAGGAGGAAAAAGGCACTGCCCACGAAAAAGCTTTAAAAAGACAGGCTTACCAAAGCCCCGGAGGGGGCTTTGATACCTAAGTCCTTAAATGGACGGGGTTTCCCCTTCCAAAAAATAATGCTTCCCTCTCTCCAAACCCTTTTTTTTCCAAAGCCAACTAGATCTTCAAAAAAGATGTAAAGGATTAAAATTTTTCATTTTTATTTTATTTTTTTCCATTGTTTTGGTATGTAAACTATAATTAATCTTTGAAAAACATATTTTTTGAACATTTTTGGGCGGGAAGGATTTTTTTTTTTTTTTTTTTGTTTTTCTTTAAACAAGGGGGGCCCTCCCACCGAGGCGGGGTGACCCAAAGAGAAAAAAACCCCAAAAGAAAAAATTTTCATTATTCAACACTTCACACATTTCACGTTTTTGCAGAGGTCCAAGAATACAACTTTTAAAAGAATAGTAAAAAACACTCAACAATCCTCCAAACCCAGTAATTAATTGTATTCACATTAATTTCTTGGGGAAACATTGCTTCTAATTTAGCCGCCCTTTCGGAACAGATTAGGGCCCCAAAAAACGAGGTTCCACTGACTTTACATTATTTTATTATTTTTAATAATAAAGGATAAAGGGAAAAAAAATTTTTTTAATATTTGACGTGCGTTGGAGTGTGAGCAAAGTCATTTAAAAGGGGCTCGGGGAAACCGGCGGGCCCGGGACTTGAGTCCGGAGAGGGGAAGAACATCCTGCACTCTGAAGGAGGGGTTTAATGTTGCAGTTTAAAAACTGAGTGAAAGCACCCTTCGGAAGACAGTATGGATGAATGAGGTGAAATTTTTTTTTTTCGGGCCACCCCGCCTTTGTTGGGCCCCCCTGCCTGGTGGGGCCCCCCGCCTTTGGGGCCCCCCTGCCTTGGGGGCCACCCCGCCTTGGGGGGCCACCCGCCTTTGGGGGGAACGGCCCTGTATAAAAAAAAAAAAAAATATAAGGGCATCGTATATTAAGCTTTATAAAGGCCTAAG